TTTTACTGCCGGAAACCGATCTGCTGGTTCCTTCTCCCTCACCACCCTCGATGGTGGGGCAGCTAGGGGGTTACAAGGGTCCCCCCGGTGGAGCGGTCGGTTGCGATGCAGTTGTGTCCTAATACCGCCTCCAACCGGCAGGGAGAACCGTGCCTCCCCTCCCGGGTCTGTAGGTACTCGACTGGCCAGCGATGCTTATACGACCTGTGGAGAAGCTGCCTCCGCCTTACACGCTACGGCGTGATTGCAAGTGCACCAGGCCAAGGCACTGAGGGACTTGCATGAGGGTGGTCACGACCCGGAAGTTCGCAGAAAACTCCGCACCGCGGCAGACCTCGCGCCACGAGCGACGAAGGTTACGGCGCGGTCTCAGGGTCGTGCGATGTCCACTATGGTGGTCCAGGAGCGCCATTTCTGGCTGTGACTGGCTGACATGCACGAGACGGACAAGACACGATTCTTGAACACCCCCGTGTCCCAGGCCGGCCTTTTCGGCGACACGGTGGAGAACTTGCCCAGCAGTTCTCCTCCTTCAGGGAACGAGGGTTACCATATGTAACCGAGACGTTCTTTTTAGCAACATCATATGATCCCTTTAAAGTTGTGGCAGTTTTTCCTTGTGGGATCAAAAATGGTATCGAATATCAATTATTTCATAAATTCCAGAAATGCCACCACAAATAGTTTAAGTTTGTGGGAAACACTGTCCCTAACATCAAGTTTGAGCAATAGTAATGTCAAAAATGTTAATTTCCATTGGTAGCCAGCATTAAAATCCTCATCGGTTTCTAGAAAACCCATAGAAACTGGTAGGCAGAGTCACCACAAGTGTTTGACTTAAAGGGGCATCACATAAACAAAAGCCGTGACACCAGATCTTTACCACCACATACACACGACAGATTATTTACATTCTCATAACAACAGCAACCTAATCATTGTTTTGATATTGAGATGTGAGTCCAGAGAGGACCCATCCTTGTTTATTAAACCCTAATGAGGTCTATGAGGTTTTACACTTTAATGAGCTTGCTATCATTTGATACAGTTATGACTAGTGAGTGTCACGTCTCATAATATTATAGCAGTCATCAATCATGATATGAAGTCAGTTGTTAATCTTTATACCACAGTCTCACATGTCGTGGATATTGGGGAGATCAATCTTATTGCAGACCCTTTTATCCACATTGACTTGTGGATATACAGTATATTTGGACAGTCCCCTTGGAGCATACCGGGGGTTCAGTGCCTTCCTCTAGAGCACAGCAGTAATAGCTCATGAGTCATCTCTCAAGTGATTCAAACCTACCTGTTGTGATGTTTAACCACTATGTCACACCAAATTATGTTTTAATACAGCAAATGGGAGTGCTTATTGAGTTAACCTTGAGTTGGCTGGCTCATTTTTGGTTTATTTATTTATTTTCAAATTTGTCAAAAGTAGTGAATAAAAAGAAATTGCTTCATAACGGAAAAGTACCTACTTTGTCTCTTAATTGTGAAAGAATGGGAGTTTTATCAGCTTTGTTCATGTCGCAGATATCATTAAGGAAGTTGTTACAGTAAAGTTAGATGTTTTCATTGCAGCACAAGTGACTTAGCAGGCATTTATTGCTTGCCAGGTTGTTCATACAACAGATTATCTTTCCCATGTAATGTGTGGTTAGTGACAACAGCTTTGTAGTGGGTTTTTTCAGAAGGGCTGTTGGAGCTGTGTGTGTGTTTAATGGATAAATTACCTCCAGTCTCCATTTGTTTTGTGAATCAGGGGTGTTCTGAGTCACCCTGAGTACATACCATCTGAGAATATGTAGAACACCACTTTAACAGTGCATATCTTTGTGTCTTTGGGTTCATGTGTATGTGAGTTTACTGCCATTGAGTCATAGTGGCTGATTCTTATGTCTTTTGCCCTGTCGAAATGGACCCCATGCAGAGAAGCATTGTTTTTCATCCATATTCTGTTTGATGTTCACAACTAAAGATCTTCAGAACTAAATTGTAATATATATAGTAGAAACTTTAGTTTGTACACAGCAGTTTCAGAGTTCATGTTTGAGGTATGACCGTGTAATTTCTTGTAAAACTAAACTTCAAAGTCTTTTCAGGGAATAATAACCACAGACTTTGTTACATATAAATGTAAAACCGCTTTTAAAAAACCCCATTAGGACTTCCCGAGGAAGCCCATGGCTTTCTGCATTTCCCTACAACCTAATGTGATGACTGAATAACCCTATAGGTTTGTCCAGTCATGCTGTGCGACAGTGGTTTTGTGGACTGCCAGTTGGACTTGTGCTGTAGCTCCAGACGTGTGTGTGTGTGTGTCATGTGGAGTAAGTGTGGAAGTCTTCCTCCGCTTCAACTGCGTAATATGTACCTGAGTAGTTTTGGTTCACAATTTGCTTTTGAAAGGGAAATGATTTTCAGTTTACTGACTAAATAACTAACTGTTTAGTCTGGGATGCTAAGTCTATCTTTGTGATCAGGCATATCTAGCTCAGTCAAACGTGACCTGTAGCCCATCAGCAGTTGGTGTGTGTGTGGTACTAGTGGAGGGTCATTCTGTTCAGGGTCACACTCGGGTAATGGATGTGCCTTTATCCGTACTCATTTTCCATGGCATGCTGGCGGATATCAGGGACAGATGCCTTGGCAACAAGCCCAGGGTAAATAAAGGACAGGAGGAGGCCATCAAATCTTCCTCCAGGCACCGTACAATATGAAGGATAACAGTGTGGAAACAGGCGGGTAAAACCTCACAGTCAAGAGCTTTATCTAGTGAGACAGACACAATAGTGCTTGTTTTTTGATTGCTGTCTCCATATTAGCGGCCGGATAATGTTCTTAAAGAATTGTCACCTGTGTCTGGATATAAAAATTACTTTGAATTTCGTTATGACCCAGGGAGAGATGTCTGATAAAGGTGGCGGGGAAGATGCCCTACCTAAGAACATTTACTATTGTACAATATTTAGAGATATTTTTTTTGCATGTGTAGTATGATTATGCATGATCCAGTATATTATAGTATATATAAGAGAAAATAAATTTAACTGGTATAGCCCAAAAGTGAAAATCAAGAAAAGGGCCCTATCACTGTGAAAAAAACCCTCCCTGATAAATTTACAGAAGGCTGATCTTATCAATTTTGTAGAATATATAAAATATATTCAATATAAATTTTAAGGAATTATCTAAAAATTAATACTCAGTTGATACCCTGGTCAAAATTGACCCAGAACACACACATATATATACACACACACACACACACAAAATAACAATGTACAATTTTGACTTATTAAATACTTTTATTTTGATAGTCTTAAAACATTTGCAAAGTTTGGTTCCCATACTAAAAACTATGGATTTTATGGTCCAATATGGATTTGAATGCAATAGAAGGATTAATGTAAAACCTTGGTCGTATAATCGGTGTAAATGTATGCATTTTGACAATTTAGTGTCTGTGAATTATATAAAGGCCTATATTTTTATTTAAGGGCTGACAACAGGCTATGAATTGATTCTACTCAGTTAAACTATATGTTTCAGTGAATAATGAAAATGTTGATATGTACATTTAATTCATGGGATTATTAAAAATAACTCCAGAACACATCACTGGCCTCAAACTTAAGCTTTTTCACTTCAAAATTAACACAATATTTCTTACTGTATAAACTGAAATGAATATTTTGAGTTAACTAACAAATAGACATAACTTTTACAATCCACCAAGAGTTTATGAATGTGGTTGGGGATGTAAGAGAGCGGTGCAGTGCAATAGAGCTGCAGGAATGGAGTATGATGAAAAGGAACATAACAGAAAGCGAAGGGAGAACATATTGACCCACTTTCATCAAAGAGGTCTGCAGAGATGAAAGAATGAGAATGGTTCCTTTGGCATTTCATACTGTACAGTCTCTTTTACGTCTTCTGCTGCCACAGTCTAGCTTCATTTGTGTCTGAAAGCTCAGCTGTGTTCTAGTAGGTTTCTTAACGCTCTCATTTCCTGTGCAAAGTCCTGTTGTTTCACAAAGATGGACTGTTGTGGTGAAGAGCGATTAGTCCCAGTGAATAGACTGCACAAAAGTGTTCAGCATCTCTGGCCAGACTTTTGCAATGATATGCAACCCTGTGAACTTTCTGAAAAATCATCCAAAATGACGATATTGGCCATTTGTTAATCATCATAGAGTTCATTGTTTTGTTTGTTTTATCTGTGGTCTCCTCAGTAATGTTTCACTGGCCGCCTCATAAAGATTTGTAATAATGCTGATAACTAATTTTCTCTCTGTTTCTCTCCACAGGCAGGAGGTTCAGGAGAACTGTGTTCGCTGGCGAAAGAAGTTCTCCTTTGTGTGTAGGATGAGTGCCAGTCCTGCCACTGGGGTCTTGGACCCCTGCATCTGCCGAGTGTCTGTGCGTAAGGTTAGTCTTACTCACACGCACATAGATTTCATCTTAATCCTGTAACACGCATCTCAACAACACAACCATTATAATATATCAAAGAACTCTCTTTTCAGCCCTGCAAAAATAATATTAATAGCTTGTTTTAATCTGAAGTGATAAATAATATTTTCAAAGCATTTTTAAAGGGTGTGTAGCTATGGACACCTTTGGCCCTGTGGACTGTGGAGGAAATTACTTTTTTTTTTTTTTTTGGTAAATAAAATGCCAGACTTCTATGTCTTGCTAAAGTTAACTTCAAAGCTATTTTATGTATTATACATACACAAAGTTAAATAACATTTTCACACTTTTTTTGCACAAAAATTTAAGACACAATAAAAATATTGTGCTACCTTGTTTTTTTGTTGTTGTTTTTTTTACACATCACATGGGTTGTATTGTGTTCACTGACACTTGCTTCAGGCTTTGTTTAGAATATCATCAAAAACATGATTTTTAAATACAATTAAAAGATCTGGGTCTAGGACAAGGGTGAAACAATAAAATTTAACAAAGGCAATAAAGATTAACTGTTAGATATTGTTTCCAAACTATTTTAATATGACCTTCTTACAATTGAAATCTGTTAGTTTAAATAAAAATAAAAATGCCCATGGGACATAAAAGTGCCCACAGTTGAAAAAACACCCTTATCCAGCTTAACAGTCAGATTATGGAGGTATGGAGTTCATATGTTTGGTTTACTCCATACAGGATATCTGCTGTCTCATGGTTTCCTTTGCTCTCTTTACCCTTCACTCCTTTTGCCTCGTAGCGTCACCACACCAATAGCAAACATTGCATAACAAATAATCTCTCTCTCTCTCTTTCTCTTTTTCCCTGCAGGAACTTAAAGGTGGAAAGGCTTTTTCAAAGGTAAGAGCTCATCCCTCATCCCTTTTTTCTCACTCTCCGTGTAATTGTTTCTTCCTCACGTACTGTCTCTGTTACACATTTTTTCTCACACTCTGTAATTACAAAAGGTCTGTTTTTTTTTTCCTTGGGCCTTTATATGTTTACAAACACAAATCTCTTGTGAGTCACATGCTTATACACAAATATACATACTGTACTACACGACACGCAGGGCACCACATGTGCAGGAAATACTGCATAAATAAAAAGGGTGTAATGCTGTGGGAGGTTAGAGTTAGGGATTCAGTCATCTGGTCTGGGCCTGTCAGACATGTGTTTCCACACCTTGAGAATCTCTAAACCACACAGTTATCATTGCTTGTACCACCCTGCGTTAATTGTACAATACATTCAAGCAGTAACTGATAATAGACAAAAAGCTGAACACATATTTTCAGTAATACAGGAAAGCCTGACACAGGCCATCCCTCTTGTATCAACAAACAAAGGATATGAGACATTCCCTAAACAGGTAAAGGCCCTCAGTGTGATTACATATAAAAAGGTGTTTATATATATATATATATATATATATGGCAAAGCTGAATTTTTAGCAGTCATTACTTTAGTCTTCAGCATCACATTGAACTCTCATATGCTGATTTTGTGCTAAAGAAACATTTCTTATTATTACCAATGTTGAAAACCGCTGTGCTGCTTAATTTTTATAACGCCTTTTTCAAATTGTTTTCTACTAGCAGTGAGCGCCTTGCGCACTGTTTATGCGCCCCGGGCGCCTCGTGTTTAAGTCGCCTGCTGTGCCTCGCGGTTTTGTAGGGGCGCTCTTAGCGCCTGAAGTTGAAAAAAAAATCAACTCTGAGCAGAAAAGACGTCTTTTTTTTCCATTGTCCAATCGAATGAATGGAGAGGCGGGCCTTCCGTTGTGGTGACGGAAGTTTACGGTTGCTTGGGACGTCCGGAGACTGCAATGATGGAGGAGAAACTTGTGGTAGCTGTCGCGGGTTACCCGGAGCTGTATTTTTTTCTTAAGTTTCTGCTAATATGACAGTTTACTTAACAGCAAACCAAAGATTCTAGCGGTGACAGAGACACCAGAAGGTGCGGTGCGCCTTGCGTTTTCATACCTGAAAAACATGTTCTGTCTGATCGGGGCCATAGTCATATTGTGATGCTGCTGGTTCAGGTCATCATGGCCAAATTACTGCAGAGAAAGACATGTTTAGCATGTTTGTGTTTGTAATGAGTTACAGGAGGATGTTTTGTTTGGGAGTGTACATCCGTGTCCTTTTCTCTTCATTTACCGATCCCTTACGTCCTGAACGGGAGAACCGTGTCAGAACTGTGTGCTGGCGCAGCAGAAGCAGGGAACGAGAGAGGTCAAATCTATGGACTGTAACCGGGAATAAGCGAGAAACACAGGAAGGAGGGGGTGCATGTGACCTTTAAGATGAATTAAAGGGAGCCTTTGCTGTGGCAAATTTTTGAATGCTACAGTACATTGACCGTAATCTTATCAGTTAATACGTGTCATTGAACTGAAATGAGTTAACATAAATTTGATAAATTAAAATATTTGTGAATCCTGAAATCACATGCTAATTGTCAGTCTCAAAAAGAGCACAGAAAACCAAGGTTGTCTGGAATAAACCACGTAAACCTTTTAAGGACAGTCACAGGAGTCATTTCTAGAAAGGACAGAGGAAACGGTTTGTGCTAAAGGCAGCAGTGGAAAAGCAAATATAGATAAGGAAGGCCACAGACGCATGCACAGATCTGTGAGAAGATGTGAAAATACCCTAATGTTTCGTTCTCTCCTGCTTTTTATTGTCTCCTTTTTCAAGCAGGTGTAGAGACTAAACTGTACACCCAGGGTTCATAACACTCTCCGGCACTAAATACTGCACTAAATGATTTAAAATGAGCAAACTATTGGTCATTTAGCTTATTAGAAACTAACATAATTGCAAGAAGAATAGTCTGACAAATAGTCTTAAATATACAAGCATTTGTATTCCTCTAGAGCAGGGGTAGGCAAGTTCAGTCCTAGAGAGCCGCAGTCCTGTAGAGGTTTATTTGATGACATGTGAATTATTACTTGCATTAATCCATGGAAACTAATGAATGTTTTTTTTAAGGTTAATATATGATGATATTCTAATCTTATGGGTACACAAAGATGTATTAACATTGATACAAAATTCTGTTCATGGGCAGTAAAAAATATTTTTCAAAAATATTTATGGTGGGTTCGTCTTTCTCTCACTGAGGTGAGATAATAAAACATATCATTCTGTGTGTGTCTGTGCATTTGTCCCTTTATCCCTTGCTGTAATATCACACATCAATGATTTTTAAAGGCCAGCTGGTCACGTGCATCAGTGCTGACTGTATAGGGTATTCATCCAATAAAGGAAATGGAAAGAATTATATCAGCTACCGTTATATCATTAACCAAGGTTAATAGAATTTTTCGAGCAAGAACACACTGCTGAGAAAGAAGAGTGAGAAAGGGAGATAAATGTATGAAAAAAGCAACAAGAATGCTTACTGGTAGTGTTGGAGAAACCTTTATCGAGTGAGAAACAGAGAAGAGATTTCATGCATGACTGACTCTGCCAACTTCACATGCCTGTAGTTATATAAGAGAGCCCTTAAGAGTTAACCCTTTGCTTTCCTTTTCCCTAAACTAGCTTTCAAGATTCGTGACAAACTTCTGTTTTTATATTTATCTTTTTTTACTCTAAATAAAATGTACCTTGAATAAATAAGGCTAGATGTTAAAAAATAAAGATAAATAGGAAATGGATTTATGTCCTGAGTTATTCCTGGTGTCATGCTCATAAAGCTAATGGTATAACTGTGGAAAAACTGGAGAACTTACTCAAAAACCTGTTTGGAAAAGTTTAGAGCTATCATTTTTTGTATGGCTGAACTGATGATAAAGTCTTATTTATTCTCCTCTCTCATCTCCAGCTAGGCTTTGCTGACCTCAACTTGGCGGAGTTTGCTGGTTCAGGCTCCACTGTTCGCTGCTGTATACTAGAGGGCTACGACACCAAGAACACTCGGCAGGACAACTCCATACTCAAGGTGAGTGTGTCTCTGTGTAAATGCTTGTGCATATGGAGGTAGGCCCTGTCCATCTCTCATCTCATTTTTGGACTGACAGTACACATGTCCATTTTGAACAGCCTCGGTCAGTCAAACCAAAAGCTCAAACACTGTCTCTTTTTCATCTATAAAGGCCAGGAACCTATTTCTCTGCATTAATCTTAGCACCTTTTATTAGACTATTTGCCCTCAATACAAACACTGTCATCTAGAGTTTCTACACTGTGTGGGTGACATGTGACTGGTCAAACCCTCTCATCAACCCACAGTCAGTCCCTGTAATGACTGACTGACTCACTGTCTTGTAGACTTGTCAGGAGGAAAAATATGAAGGGAAAAAGACATTTAATCATAGATATTTTTGTAATTTTGACTCATTTTAATCTAGATTTCATGTGTAGGTTCCCACAAGCAGTCTATTTTACTATCCAAATGCATTTTGTTATGAGACAGATTTGGTTTTACATTTCACCTTTTATTTTGTAATATTTTCATCTTTCTTCCCAGGTTACTATTGGTATGACCCTTCTCTCTGGAGATCCCTGCTTTAAAATGTGAGTGTGTTACTGAATTTACTATTTCTTAAAGGGGGCAGCAGATGCCCATTTTCCACAGGTTGGTATGATTCTTTAGGGTCTTCATGAAATGTCTGCCAAATACTTTGGTTCAAATTTCTCAATGGTCGTGTAAAACAACACCCTTTTTACCTTGTTAAAAACAGCTCTGTTCACAGCGACCCGTTTTGGTGCATGTCTCTTTAAATGATAATGAGCTACTGCTCTTTTCCCTAAACTAGCTTTCAAGATTCGTGACAAACTTCTGTTTTTATATTTATCTTTTTTTACTCTAAATAAAATGTACCTTGAATAAATAAGGCTAGATGTTAAAAAATAAAGATAAATAGGAAATGGATTTATGTCCTGAGTTATTCCTGGTGTCATGCTCATAAAGCTAATGGTATAACTGTGGAAAAACTGGAGAACTTACTCAAAAACCTGTTTGGAAAAGTTTAGAGCTATCATTTTTTGTATGGCTGAACTGATGATAAAGTCTTATTTATTCTCCTCTCTCATCTCCAGCTAGGCTTTGCTGACCTCAACTTGGCGGAGTTTGCTGGTTCAGGCTCCACTGTTCGCTGCTGTATACTAGAGGGCTACGACACCAAGAACACTCGGCAGGACAACTCCATACTCAAGGTGAGTGTGTCTCTGTGTAAATGCTTGTGCATATGGAGGTAGGCCCTGTCCATCTCTCATCTCATTTTTGGACTGACAGTACACATGTCCATTTTGAACAGCCTCGGTCAGTCAAACCAAAAGCTCAAACACTGTCTCTTTTTCATCTATAAAGGCCAGGAACCTATTTCTCTGCATTAATCTTAGCACCTTTTATTAGACTATTTGCCCTCAATACAAACACTGTCATCTAGAGTTTCTACACTGTGTGGGTGACATGTGACTGGTCAAACCCTCTCATCAACCCACAGTCAGTCCCTGTAATGACTGACTGACTCACTGTCTTGTAGACTTGTCAGGAGGAAAAATATGAAGGGAAAAAGACATTTAATCATAGATATTTTTGTAATTTTGACTCATTTTAATCTAGATTTCATGTGTAGGTTCCCACAAGCAGTCTATTTTACTATCCAAATGCATTTTGTTATGAGACAGATTTGGTTTTACATTTCACCTTTTATTTTGTAATATTTTCATCTTTCTTCCCAGGTTACTATTGGTATGACCCTTCTCTCTGGAGATCCCTGCTTTAAAATGTGAGTGTGTTACTGAATTTACTATTTCTTAAAGGGGGCAGCAGATGCCCATTTTCCACAGGTTGGTATGATTCTTTAGGGTCTTCATGAAATGTCTGCCAAATACTTTGGTTCAAATTTCTCAATGGTCGTGTAAAACAACACCCTTTTTACCTTGTTAAAAACAGCTCTGTTCACAGCGACCCGTTTTGGTGCATGTCTCTTTAAATGATAATGAGCTACTGCTCACCCCGCCCCTCTCTTCTGTTTTTTGTGTATATGGTGGCGCCTTACCATCAAAAACAAAACTAATTCACTATGTCCTCAGTGGCTCTCATGTTGGGAGAAAATGAAGAATCTTATTTTCAATTTACATCCAACTGCAAAACACCTGCATTGCTTGCGAGACATTGTTCTTGCTACAGCTGCTCAAGGGCGGAGAAAATGGCGGACAGCATACAACTGGCTGAGGGGAGAAATATGCTAATACGGGACGGTCCGTCAGACAGTCCGACATTTATAAGCAAACACCATGTAAAAGTGAATTTTGCATCCGATGTCCCCATCAAAATGTTTTGAATGGTTTTCAACCCCGTTAGGGCCCCTCAGCAAACTTCAAATGGGGCCTCAAGATGATTTTAAATGATTTAAAATAAGACAAACCAAGAATGGAAATAAGCTAAAACAACTAAAAATAATGTATTTTTTTCACCCCATCAACGGCTATTTTTCCTTTGAAGAACCAGATTTTGAGTATAAATTTTAAATGTGTGATTTCTATCCCTGGAAAAGGTCATGTAAATTGCTAAACCCTTATAAAGAATTAATTTTTTTCTAGTTATGCCAAGTTCTTAACTATTTTACCAGGTAAAAATTATTATCGTTAATTCTTATAAATTAAATCATGAGTGAATGAAAAATGCCATGTCAATTCTTTGTTAAAATAAGTGGGATTCAGCTATTAAAACGTCTGGAGTTTTTAAATGCAATTATTTTAACTATAATTGTTTTAGTTTTTTAAATCTATGGACACTACTAAGTTCTGTAAATGAAAATAAATGTGGTTGTGGACAATGAGGGGCCTTGGCGTAAAGAAAGTGCACTGTGCTTAGAAACTGTTGTATAGTTATCTTGATCCATGCTCAGTATAGCTCCTCTCTTGTTTACATTTGTAGTCAATGTGTAAGTATAAATTATTGAGAGAACACATGCTCTTATTGCTCGCTGATGACATCTAAACTTGCTTTCTCCATTTCCTCAGGCCTGTGAGCACAGCTAAGACCATTGCCATGGCTGGGCAGGACCCCTCTCTGCAGCTGGACCGCAAGGGAGAGGGCACCGCTGACCACTCTGCACCGCCCCATGGTGGCAGCACTCGCCGATCAATCAAGAGCAGACCCTGTGTGAACAACTCTGGTATAACCAACACACCTACAGTAGACCATCTCTGAAATGATGAAATTTGGAGAATGTTAACAAGTAGATAAATGCTTTACACATTTACAATTGTATTAAAAATGCACAGTATTTTATGATGACTTGGTAAGGACTTGGTATATTGTTTTTGTTATATATTTTGGGCTTTCGAAATGAATGGTGCTAACCTGAGGTTGTTTGTTCTTAGGAGGACTTCAGGAGGGATTGGAGGAGAACCTGTCCAGTCCAGATGAAGTGTTTCACACGGGACACTCTCGCAACTCCAGCTTTGCCAGCCAACAGAGCAAAATCTCAGGTGGGACTCAGGGCATGATCAAAAGAGCATCAGGTACAGATTATAGCTGATTACAGTATAAAAAAACAACAACTTCAAACTACACTTCTATCTTAATTGTATTTTTATTTTCAAAAACATCAAATTTACATGTAATCATTTAGATTTACAACTGAATAAAATCTTAAGCAATTTACAATATGATACAGGAGACAAGATTTATACAGAGATTTTTGTGTTCTAAAATCACAAACATTTATTGAGAGAAAATTTCACTTCAGAAAAGTGAGTGTACTTTTTCATTTGCATACACTACCATTCAGATGTTTGAGGGTCGGTGAGAGATTTTTAATGTTTTTAAAAGAAAGATCTTATTCTCACCAAAAATACAGAAAACTGTCATTTTAAATTGTAATAATATTTCACAATATTACTGTTTTTACTATTTAAAATCTTTTAAAATTAATTTATTTCTGTGTAAAGAACAGCGTTTATTTGAAATCGTTTGTAGCATTAAGAATGTCTTTACTGTCACTTTTTTTTTAACTAATTTAATGCATCCTTGTCTGAATATGAATTTCTTTCAAAAACCTTTGAACTGTAGTGGGTTGAAAAGTTAAAGTAAAAAATAAAATTCTTACATTCCTTTGAACAATTTTTTTTTTCTTTCACTACACTGCTGATTATAATCACAAGAACTGCTACTCACCCTTAGTCTTGTGGGATGTGCTTGTCCTCCACGCAGGCTACAGTACAGAGCACTCTCACTCCTCCAGCCTGACAGATCTGTCCCAGCACCGGCGGAACACCTCCACCAGCAGCAGCAACACATCAGGAGGGACGTCTACGACTATTGAGAGCCCCGTAGAGCCAGAGAAAGAGCTTGTAAAACCAGAGAGACCCCCACGTCCTCCACGACCTGCTCTGCCCCCAAACAGACCCTCAAGGTGCGGAGTCACTGGCAACATCAAGATACTAAATGACTTTGTTGTCTTATGTTAATCTGCACAAGAAGAAATGGCATGTATTTAAAACCCGAAGTATAACATGACTGAGTTGATTTGAAAGATAAGAAGTATCTATTCTGTATATCTACACAGGAGAAAGAAGGACTCTGTGGAGAACCATCCCACATGGGTGGACGACACGCGCATTGATGCAGATGATATTGTGGAGAAGATTGTGCAGAGTCAGAACTTTGCAGATTTTAGCAACAATGAAGGTGTGTTGAGAAAACATTTGGACGTATTAACTATTTAGCACCATTAGTTCCTCTTAAGCTTATTTGAATTCAACACTTTGATTACTGATACATATATGTGAGGGTTTTCCCCTCTTGTGAAGCCTTCACTTCTCTGAAGCTGATCATTCTGTCACTCTTTCTCTCACAGACAGCAATTTAACACTGTTCGTCAGTAGGGATGGTACCACAGCATTGAGTGGCATCCAGCTTGTCAACAGGTAAACTGGTGCTCTCTTTTATATGCCTTTTAATTTAGTGTTCCGGTTATAAATTTAAGTAGTATGAATTCAATTATTCATTCGTTTATTACACTGAAAAAAAGAATTGGTGTAGAAACAATTTTCACTCAAAAATTGCTAGTAAATATCACAAACAATTACAAAGAAACGGAAAGTAACCTTGAATTAAATGTAAAAATTTGAAGCAGATCAACTGAAGTATTTTCCTGTAAAACATAATCCAATAATCTTTGTTTTATTTATAACTTCTACTAAAAATTATATATTTTTTACAGTGTACTTGTACTACCATTCAAAAGTTTTTAGGTCTGTAAGATTTGAAAACATTAAAAAAACTCTGTTTTCATCTTATGCACACCAAGGCTGAATTTATTTGTTTATAAAATGCAGTAAATACAGTTATATTATGAAATATTCTTGCAATTCAAAAAGAACTGTTTTCTATTTTAACGTGTTTTAAATGTAATTCATTCCTGAGTTTCCAGTAGTGTATTTTGTATTTTACTGTTATAATATCATGTGTTCTTTTACTCTTTGGCAGGGTGTCTGCGGGTGTTTTTGAACCGGTGGTGATTGAGAGCCATTAGATCTCCAAGGCCACAGCAGTCACTCTCTCACACAGCCAATTTTTATTTTGAAATGATGGCGAGAGCAAGACAGAGACTGGATGTGAGAGTGGGCACCTGACGTCACAACTTGCTCCTCTTATGGGTCTGACATATTACTCGCCTATTACAACTGTAACACCCTAATCATGCATTACATTTGCTGAAAAAACGGTGGTGGGGACGTTCATTGTTCTATGATTAAAAATGAATGAATCATAAATATTTTACAGCGGATTCTGAGAATACAAACTACTTGAAATGCCTTAAGAAATGAGGCAAGATGGGAGCTTCAGTCTAACACTGTGAAATATGAGGGCAGTCCAAAGGTTTTAGAAAGAAAATTCAGTTCAATGTTATATTAAAATTTTAGCAGCTTTTCAGATATTTAATGTTTTGAGGTGGGATGATTTAATGTCTTATATTTCTTTATGATGCATTTCACACCCCTATTATATACAAACCACTGAAATCCACCTGCCCTTGCATACAATATAATAATGCAGTTTAGTCAGTAACCAGCGATAAACATGGAATAATATGCATGAAATCATGTATGGCTGGCCATACAAATATGTCTGAGGCAAAGAAAACAGTTAAGCCATTCCCCCATATAACCACTTTCAGTATCTCAACACTTGTGCTTGTTTCTCAGAGGTGGGCAATAGTTTGCTTACATATGTTCCTGCTGGACTGGTGAACATGAAATACATAAATATACTGTACTGCCCCCCTCTCTTTCTCTTTTTCTTTCTTTCTCTTTCTCTTTTAGTAAGTAAAATTCTCAGTGTGTTTCTAACTTCGTCTGTCAATATTCTTATCTTTCACTTTGCTTTTCATTTCAGCTTTGAATATTCCTGTGACTATGAGTTTTGGCTCTGACAGCACTGCTAAGCCATTTGTGGCATTCTCTCACTAGGGTCTTGTCGGTATCAAAATGCCATAGCCCACTGAGATCCTACATTGTGCAGCTAAAATATTAAGAGCAATTGATTTGGAGAATCCTTGTTGTAAAATGCAGCTGAATAATTGCATTGTTTGTAGGGCTAGATCAGAGACAGTGACTCATAGTCACACGTCTGTCCTTGGCAATAGGAAACCGTGTACAACAGGCATGACAGTGAAACGGAGAGAACGGAAAGCCCAGTTTTCAGTGTTTCTCTGTCATGCACTGCTTGTTTGTCATCTATTTAGTTATTCATGATCTTTGTCATGGAGATGAATCTTTCTCAGTTGATCTGAGAGCATTCACCACATTCAAGTCTGACATTGTGGGTTATATTCCCTTTTTTTGTCAGTTGAGAGAAAAGTGCAATGTGGGCCTGTTGTTTTGTAAAAGCCCATTTTAATGAGTTCTTTTTAGCCCTAAAATATTTCACCTGTCCGGTAGCTTAAAATTACACATTTAAACAGAATCACTGTTCTCTAGTACAGTGTTTCTCAACCAGGGGTCCGTGGACCCCTAGTGGTCCTTGACGTAAAGCCAGGGGGGCCGTATAAAGTATGAATTTTTTCTTTCTCTTTTAGTAAGTAAAATTCTCAGTGTGTTTCTAACTTCGTCTGTCAATATTCTTATCTTTCACTTTGCTTTTCATTTCAGCTTTGAATATTCCTGTGACTATGAGTTTTGGCTCTGACAGCACTGCTAAGCCATTTGTGGCATTCTCTCACTAGGGTCTTGTCGGTATCAAAATGCCATAGCCCACTGAGATCCTACATTGTGCAGCTAAAATATTAAGAGCAATTGATTTGGAGAATCCTTGTTGTAAAATGCAGCTGAATAATTGCATTGTTTGTAGGGCTAGATCAGAGACAGTGACTCATAGTCACACGTCTGTCCTTGGCAATAGGAAACCGTGTACAACAGGCATGACAGTGAAACGGAGAGAACGGAAAGCCCAGTTTTCAGTGTTTCTCTGTCATGCACTGCTTGTTTGTCATCTATTTAGTTATTCATGATCTTTGTCATGGAGATGAATCTTTCTCAGTTGATCTGAGAGCATTCACCACATTCAAGTCTGACATTGTGGGTTATATTCCCTTTTTTTGTCAGTTGAGAGAAAAGTGCAATGTGGGCCTGTTGTTTTGTAAAAGCCCATTTTAATGAGTTCTTTTTAGCCCTAAAATATTTCACCTGTCCGGTAGCTTAAAATTACACATTTAAACAGAATCACTGTTCTCTAGTACAGTGTTTCTCAACCAGGGGTCCGTGGACCCCTAGTGGTCCTTGACGTAAGGCCAGGGGGTCCATATAAAGTATGAATTTTTGTATAAATTTTGTATATTTTGACATGACATGTTCCCACGAAAGAAAAATCCAGTATAGCTGATGATATGGCCAAATACTGGACAAGTCAGCTAACTTTAATTATACTTGACTGCATTTGGTCCTCACAAAGACACACAAATGATACATAGATGAGTCAGTTTTGTTCTGGGGGTCCTTGAGGATGGTTCTGAATTGGACTGGGGTCCGGTACGCCAAAAGGTTGAGATTCACTGCTCTAGTACACTGCAGAGGTGAGGGTATTTGTGTTTTAAAAGTGTTTTAAATTAATATGAATTTTCTTGTTATTCATGCCATTTAAAGCGAAAAAATGAGTCTGTGGCATGATCCAGCTGCTTCCCTGCAGGATTAGTACACCTGGGAATTAAAAGTAACACTAACTTTTAAAGGGCAAAATATACAGTATGATAGTTATGTGGCCTGATAAAGCCTAGTGTTCTGGATCTTTCTGCTTAGCTAGTATATAAAGGGATTCTCTGAAGACACTGAAAAACATATCTAATTGTTCTTGTTGTTTAGTCTTTGTCTTTCTTCTACTCTTACACAAAAAAGCGATTCGCAACTAAGAACAATAACTTTATCCTGTCATTTTTGTATTTTCGAGCCAGCAGGCTGGTTCACTGGAATCTGTTTCAGGGGGATTTTTCCCCTCAACCTTGATGTCAAATAATTCTTTAATGTCTAACATTTGTGGTGAAATGATGTCCGTCAGTGGTTCTTGTTCTTTCTCTCTCTTTCTCTTACAAACACTTTTGTAATGGTTTTTAGTCAGATGCAGAAGAGAATATATACAGTGGGTACGGAAAGTATTCAGACCCCCTTAAATTTTTCACTCTTTGTTATATTGCAGCCATTTGCTAAAAATTGTTCATGCTATATTAACATTTTAAAGAAAAGAATTAAAAGGACAAAATAAAATCCAACATTTAGCTTATATATATATATATATATATATATATTATGAACGTGTATATAAAACTGATTAGTTATGAGTTTGATTTAAATATGCAAATCTAAGGATTAACTGCATTGAGCAGCACAGGCTCCAGGATACTGAAACCTCAGATGATAAATATGTAAAGTTCACTACAACAGCACTTAAATTCTGAAGACTAACTAATGTCACGCACATTCTCCAGAATGTTTCTCTTCATTTCTCCTTTACTATCAAAAATGATGAAAGCTATGCACTTACAGAAAGCTTTCCATGATAACGTCCATATTAATGACAGCAACATTCATAAAGTAAAATATATTCTGGAGATTTCTTTAAAAATATATAACATATAGTATATAAATGAGTTTACCACTAAAGTACTATGGAAATGAATGTATTTTTCTGATTGTGACAAATATTTATATATTAAGATCACACATAAGCAATGTGGTGTTGCTCCAAAGTTTTCTTGTCTTATGTTTGGTTTCATGCATGGAGAGGATACTTTCGAATGATGGACCAGAATTACATTTCTACACTCAAATGTGAATGTTTCTTTCTTTAATGTAACTGTCAGGTGAAATTATCTGTATGCATTGTTTTGGGGAAATAAAGATAATGTTGGGTATCATAATAAATAATAATCTTTGTTGTGTGATTTATTTAACAACATCCAGCTATTAACTCACCATGATGAATGATTTACTTTTGATGTATGTTTTTTTTATTGACAGTACATGGAATATGTGCTAATATTTATTTTTAGTAATATAAATGTTTAATAAATACAGTTTGAAACAGGACAATTGGGCATAGTAGTAATAATAATGAAGGATTAAATTGGCTGTAGTAATGAGGCTGAGACTAAATATAATATAAACATTCTATAAACTATAAACATTTTGTTTAATCTTTGAGTTATTCTCTTAACTTAGTTTACTAAACTTGGTTCCTTTAACTTAGTATATTTGACGTAGATATTCTGTGGGTGCTATATATCAAATTAAACAAGATAACCAGATGATACCAGTTGTTTAATTTAACATCATAGTCTTGAAACTGCTTCTGTGACTTGCAGGAGGATGGTGCTCTTTTAGGATTTCACTGCTGTAACTCAGCTATCCTCGCTTTCTGCTACAAAAAAAAGATCATATTTTAATATGAGATGTGCATTTAGCGCGGCTTCTAACCAGAATCTGTCTTTGAGCGCCCTCGTGTGCTGGAACATTTAGAGATAAAAAAAAAACTACAATTCCTAGCACGACTTCCGTTGTTAGTCGGAAGTACATTTCAAAATCGTCTATTGGGACATTTTGGTTGCATGCGGAAGTGAGTGACACGTTCATAATGGTAAGATGATCTGAAATAGACGTGGAAGTGTTATTTTTTTTGTCGTTTGTTTGTATGTGTATTAATATTACGCTTATTTGTAGGTCGCCGCGTTGTTCCTAGTTGCTAACTGTCTAACTATCTAGTTAATATGATTAATTAGCTGCACAAGAGTTTCACACTGTACAGTCCGTAATTAGACGACATAAATAATTCACTAATACAAAAATAGTTCTGATTTGTTCATTTAAATGTATTTCTTAAAAAGTATTTATTTGTTCATGATAGCTAATGTAATGAATAATTTGACCTCCCACGGAGATCCAGACATAAAGACCCTTCATAAACACACCACGAGCGTGTATGTTTGCAAGAAAAACTTGACTTAAAAACACATCATTTGTTTATTTCAGACAACATATGAATTCCTCAAAATTAAATATTTATTTTATTTGTTTTAAAATATGTTTATTATTGTATGTTTACATTTTATTTTAAATGAATGAGACATATTAAATGTAATTTGCACTTATGTTTGAGTTTGATAAAAACAATTTATTTTCAGGCAACCGGAGCAGATCAAGCTGTTGGTTTTGGACTTGTTGGTTTTAGTCTGTTACTGTTTACGTATTACACCATTTGGGTCATAGTATTGGTAAGTGGTGTTTAATGCTTAAACTTTAACAACATTTAAATCATAGAAATTTGTTTTGCAGTTTTCCAAATTGATATGACACCCATAACATGCCTTGTTTGATATGGTACTGAAAAAATATTGAAGTTCTGCCCTTCTTCCAGCCTTTCGTGGACAGTGACCATGTGATCCACAGTTATTTTCTTCCACGAGAATATTCAGTCATACTTCCTGGAGTTGCAGCATTAATCCTCTTACTTTTTGTTGGTAAGCAAGCAATCTGTCAACATGAAAATGTTAGTAGTATATCAAGTTTAACATGTTCTGCTCTAGTGACCAAATTTACCTTCATTGTTTTTTTGCAGGCACCTTCATAGGGGTGGTAACGTGGAAGAATCGAAAACCTAAGAAAGTTGATTAAGACTCTCCAGGCTTTTATGATTCATCTGGTCACAAGAACGAACTGTGTTGATTTCACTCATGTACAACTTCATGTACACAGCCACGTGAAGATGAACTCTAAAGCTGCTCGCCTGGATTCCAGTCATTAGACATGTTTAGGTGGTTCTTAAAATAAACAGCAAAATAGATTTCATTAATAGCCAAAGCAGTACTGAACATGTAGCTACACAGTAGTCTGTTTGAGCTTTGTGCATCTAATGGCCACAACCTTGACTGAAGACCACACTACCTGTGACATGCTTAGCTTTGGAGAATTCTTTCCATAGTCAGGGAGATAAAAGCAAATAATACATGAGAACACAATTTTGGCACCTAAGAGATAGGGCAGATATATGTATACTGTGTATCTGGAAGACCTCTAAATGGAATATGGGATTTTTCTTTATGCTTTAAGTTGAGGAGTTTCAACTGTTCATTTATGTTGTAAATAGATGGATTTATAAGCTGGAGTGCTTGCTTCTAGCAGCAAAATAATTCAGGACACCAATCTAAAAAGAATAAGAAAGAGAACTTTCTGTAATACCATAAACAATCCCACATTAAAACGAATAGAAATATGCTTAACTTTTTATATTGTTGTTTTTGTTTCTTTCTTGTTTTATCTATCTGTCTATCTATCTATCATGTACTTGTCATAAACTCTTAAACGTTTCGAAGGGTGGTTTCTGCAGTAATTCCATACAAGAACCATATTTTTCTAAGTGTAAAGTACATTGAAAATAATCTAAAAAAACTTTTCCCACTATGTTTGTGCCATGGATGTTAAAGGTTCTTTATGGAACCACACTTTTTAATGTGTATCATCATATCAATAGAGAATGAATGTTACAGTGTATTTATAATATAAGTATTATGTTTATATATATATAAATGACATGAATAGAGAGAATGTACTATGTGTAAGAATCTTAGTCAAAGGTTGTAATACGTGTAAAATATCAATCTACTATCAACAACTAATAGTTTTGGCTGTTTGTGTCTGCATATTTGGCAATTGGTCGTTCAGGTCCGTGTTTTCGGTAACTAAGCGTGTGTGTGGGATGGGCCGCTGCAGTCGCGCTCGCTCGTTCTGATGAGAGACTGATAGAGCTCGAGCTGCTCATTCCACGCACTGGCCCCATCCACGACCCGGCGGACGGACGAGGACATGTATTAGAGGACCCATAATGAATCGCGCTGAGGTACGTGCACATCTGTTATTATTAGACTGAAAAGACCTTGTTTCTGTTATTTTTGTCGAACTGAAGGTAAACTGAAGTTCCCCTGACAGTTCGACTGGCTCTTCCTGTTTTAATATTCGTTGGTTTGTTTAAATGTTCATCAAAAACGGTCTTTGTCTGAATTCAGAATAATGAAAGTATACGTTATTTTGGACTTTGACTTGCTCTTAATTCTGCACTTCATATGAGGATCTGATGACAGAGGTCTTTTTAAGTCCCAGGCTGCATTTAGAGAGGGAAAAGCTGAAGACTGATATTGTAAAATTGGATTTCTTTATGCAGAACAGCTGATTACCATCACTGAAACAAATGAACTTACGTCTGATTAAATATTTCTCTGGCACTCAGTGTACAGGGCTGAAAACCCCATTTAGGCACATGACACTTGGGAGGACAAACTAAATCGGCTTTGGCTAAACTATGAGCCAATATTGTTTGAAACTATGATTTCCTCATGTGCAAACAACACACTAGTGTCTTAAAGGAGCAGCGCATTTATTGCAGCTGATGGCATGTCAGATTTGTGCTATGACCTGCTGCAGGTGCTCTGTTCCACCGTGATGGTGCTGCATTCACTAGAAAAAAAGAATAACAAATAATTAATAATTATTTTCCTGTCTTGAGTGACAGGACCTTAAGTCCTCTGATAATGCACTTGAACAGATACAGATTTTGTTCTGTTGTCAGGGAGACCTTAACCAGTTTCAAGATGATGACAAAACCCTTTGTCAATAAAACATGAGTGCAGTAAAATATATTAATGTCTCATATATACATAAACACACTCACAAAAAACTTTTAAAAATATGTGGACATGCATGTCGTTTTTACTAAGGAGTCCTGTATATAAGTACATGTCTATTGTATGATGTAGATGGAGATGTCAGGGCCAGGTGTGAGCCGACACAGACGCACAGTGAAGAGGAGACGGTGGGGAAGACTGAGGCAGCAATGGAATCTGCTGGGTCTGTTTGAGATCGACCAGCAGCATGAGTTTTACAGTCTCACCTGTATGATGAAGGAAGGGCTGTGTGCCGCTGTGCAGAACACCATTGACAACCCTTTACCTGTGAGTATACACATGTTTATGAACCTATACATCATCCAGTCCCTATTGAATATTACTTCTTCCATCTTAAAGAAAAGATTACAATGGCAAAGATGCAGTTAGAGCTAGAGTATTTGATCCATTTGAGGACTCCTAGGGGTCTGTGCAGAAGATATATAAAGCATATACAATTTTCTTTCATCCGTATCAGGATCAGAATGAGCTTTATTGCCAAGTATGTCACACACACACACACACACAAAAAGAATTAGTCTTTGTAACAGGAGATCAGGATCAGAATGAGCTTTATTGCCAAGTATGTCACACACACACACACACACACAAAAAGAATTAGTCTTTGTAACAGGAGCATCCAGAGCGGATAAAGCACAGACATAATAAAGGCAATAAAATATAATATAACACAATAATAAAAAATATAATACAATACAGTAATACATATAGAATACACCCTTAGAATTACAATGTACAGATATGCTATTTACAGATGTACAGTTATCAGATATGCCATTAAAAATAAAAAATGTGTGGCACCGATAACCGATGCCATCTCTTACTACAGTATGTCTATTAGTTACTGTATACGAGTATTTAAATTTATGCCCATTTACAAAGCTATTATGAAGTTTTACTAAGAAAATCAGATAGAAAGCCCACTTAGAGGTATTTTAGATTTTTTTTTTTAATTCACCATAACATTTTTCCTTAATCAGTTTTATCAAAGGACATTATGCAAATCTTTTTATGTTGTTTTCCCCGCAGACATCACTAATATCAACTAGTCTAACATCTACCACTCAAACTGATATGAACAAATTGATCTGAATTTATCAGTCACAGATCATTGCAATCAAACCAAAATAGAATCACAAGAATATAAACAGGGTAGCTCACATTACATTTTCAATGTTGAATTGCATATTGAAATAAAAGGTGAGAGAGACAAAAGCTTTGGTATCAAAGACCTCCAAGGAGACAGGCATGTTCCATTTACCATTAATTAGTATGAGGGCAAGCTCCATAGAGAGGACCATATTTAGTCTGATCTTTCCATGGAGACTGTGTGTTTGTGGTGCTGAAGGGGCACCATATTACAATGTGTTTAGCTTGATTAGAGCTGTTTTTATCCTGGTAATTTGCTCAAGAGCAACAGAGCAGAGGGTGTGGAAGAATAACTAAGTATTTCGGTAACAAACACCATTATATTGCACACATTGTGGAGGAGGGACAGAATTCAAACAATGCAATAGTCCTCAGTGCATGGTAGCGCCACAAGAGAGGGGAGAAAGGTTAAAGCAGAAATCAGTAGTGAAAAATAGTGTAGAATGCAGTTGGGTAAATGGTATAAGTAAATAATACGCATAAGCCTGATACACAATGTATTTCTAAGCTTTAGTGTATTATAGAGGAACAAGACAGTACTATTCATCTCTGAACGTGGTACTGTATGTGCATGACTAATTTTTTCCCACATAGGCTTGTCACATTTTTGATGTTTCATAGATTATTCATGTAGCATTGCAATGCTTTCTATAAATACATTTTCTTATTGAGATGATAGAATATTGAAACCGCAGTGACTGTGGCATTCACTGATGCCTAAAAGAAATACAGGGCCACCAGCAAACCAGGACAAGACAAGGACTACCAGTTGGCACCCCTGACTACATTTTTAGTATGGTAAAACCATACAACGAATTGCATGGTTCTGGTCCTGGATGCTGTCAATAAGATGTTACAGCCATGCTAAAATACATATTTACATATCAGGGAACTTAAGTAAAATAAATTATAGTTTTGTGAAAAAAAATATGCCTTTTTATGTTGTAAACCATTTTATGAAACCAGTAAGGCAATCGATCTCATGCTATTTTGTGAATATAGTCATGAATAAAGTGTTTTAAAACCAATTATACACATTAAAATGTACTCAGATTATAATAAACTTGATTTCACATGAATATTGTGGTAACACACATGGATAGACTTAAAACATTGACCTCTTCCCCCTTTTTTCAATATAGCTTTCTGTTGCCATTTTCAGTGATCCACACAGATTTGTGAATGAGGCAAACACATCCCTTGATTATTATCTACTCAACCTATTTTGTATTGTGGTTGTTGCACTCATGGTCTTGTGCTTGTTCGGAAACAAACACACACATAGATGTTGCAGACCCCTGATTCTATTGAATCTAGTCTGCTTAGGCAGCAGTATGACGCATGAATGTGCTGCCTGTTGTCTGGGGGTCAAAGCTCTTTTGCATCTCTCTCTCTCACACACTTAAACGACAAACATTACCTGCAAAAGCATGTAATCAACTGTACGATATGAATACTTTTCATTATTGATCATATATTTTGTGTTTTTAGGATGAGTTGTCTGAGGATGACTACAATCTTGAGGTTACTCAAATCCATAAGGTATGTTAAAGGAAAGAGCGAACACTGCTTACTATAATTTTAGCATTTTTTTTTTTGCTGTACCATACCACAAAATGTGACTGAATTACTAAGCAATTGTTGAGCATGTGCTTGTTTTGCTTGAATTATGCAAAAGATATTTATATGGAATTGTGTTGTGTTTGTGACTGCGTGAAGGACTTCAGGATGGAGACGTACGCTGGGCCGGTGTTTGTCAGTCTGCGGCGCTCCCTGGGGATGAAAGAGAAGGAATATCAGCAGTCTCTCTCCTCTGAAGGCAGCTACCTGCAATTCATCAGCAATTCCAAGAGCAAGGCTGACTTCTTCCTAACGTGAGTCAGCACAAATGCTTCACATGCAGGCGCATATGCACCAGATTCAGCATAAGGAGGAAGAGACAGACCACTCATAGAGAAATAAATGGGAGAAATCACATAGTTCAATATGGCATGTATAAGAAGGGCTGTACTGCTCTTTTAAAGAGCCTTTTTGATAGATTTTTATATCTGGATGTACATTATAATTTTAGCATGATTTCAGTCACATTTATACTGTTGTTGTCAGATATATATATTTTTTTAATACAGTTTTTGATTTGAAATGTGTTATTGAAACATAATCTTAACAAACGGCTTTGGGAAGTTTGGTCTTTCCCCATTCATTTAGATAGCAGTACTTGACTTGATAATAACTGCCCTGTTGTATTGCCAAAATAGTGTCTGACTGAACTGATGTAGGCCTATACCTATGGGATGAAATTAGACTCAAAATGATTAATAGATGCACGCACAATTATCCATGTACTGCATACATTTTATACATGTATCTTACTAACCACAAACAAA